AACTCTCTTCTCTTCCTCCACTACCACATGTGAGCTAATTACCTCTCGGTCTCATAGTCTAGCACACGGTTTATATTATTATTGGTCTAATCTACGCAATTCTTTCTCAAGTTCATGCATAAATCACTAAATCAATTGAAAGATGATCAAGCTTCCAATGCATTAAGTTCAATAATATAAACTCCTCATGCTAATAACTTTAATTGAAAATATAAAATCACAAAATCTATATTGAATTGATTAGGCTACATCGTAGCCTTAATAGAATAAATTAGTTCATAATAAAAATAATAAAATCTAAAATCACAATTATGAGCATAAGAATGTTTAAGGAAAAATAAAACCTAATTTGGGGTAATTGAAATTCTTGATCTTCTCATTGATGGATCTTCTATCTTGAGCTCCAAGAGTGCCCAAAAGAGGGCTGCCACCAGCCTCCCAAAACTCCCCCTAATTCTGAATTTAGATGGGTATTTATAGGATTTTAGAAACCCTAATTGAAATAGAAGTAGGACTTTGAATAGGAATAGGAAACTGAATTTTAGATGCTGATCGCGTGGTGCTGACACTTTGGATTACGTGTTGACACAAAATAGGAAACAGAATCTGATTCTGGACATTTAGCGCATGGTGTCGACACCCCGATAATGTGTCGACACTACACCCGTGTCGGGTTTCTGGTCTCCTTTTGCAATTTCTTCAATGGTAAAATAACAGATTTGGTTCCTGACTTCTGGATTCTGCACAAGTTGATCCTCAAGTCTCTGATTTCTTCAATTTACTTCTAAAAAGTAAGATTTCTTTCAATTAAATCCCTTCCTACACAAAGGATGAAAACCATGTAAAGTCAAACAAAATCCCATAAAACTCATCCAAATATCAATAATATCAAAGTGAAAATTCCCTATTAATATGTATATAAATTTAGCTCATCAAATTCGGACGTAGAAAAAACAGAGGAGACTATTGAATACACCCCAACGGGAGAAGAGCTACAATGGCTTGAGGGTGGCATGGTGGCAGTGGTGAGGTCAATGGCGTTGGTGTCTGAGATTCAAGAGCAAATGGACGCTGATGGAGGTTCAATCTCATTATCACCAATTGGGGGGAAGACGGGTGCTACTAACTGAAAAAGTTGTAGGGTTTTTATCCGATTATATGAAGCAGAACCAGGAGTTGTTTGGACTGTGGTTTGAGTCTATAAAACCATGGGAGATGGACCTAGAGGAGAAAAGCCGAATGATGTGGTTGCGCATATCCGGAGTGCCATTAAAGGCATGGGGAGAGAGGTGTTTTCAGATGATTGGAGAGACAATCGGAGAAGTTTTGATGGTTCATGAGGATACAAAGAAGAAATCAATCTTATGGGATGGGAGAGTATTGATATTAGGCTCGGAGTCTTGTAAAGTCTCAAAACAAGTTAAGCTCAAGGTGGGAGAGCAAGTGTACAACATAGAGATAGTTGAAGAAGAGTGGCACTCTGATTCGGATTGGTGGCTATCGGAGAATGATCGGAGAAGTGACCTGGAAACGGAGTCCGGTTACTCAAACTCGTGGTGTCAGAATGAGGATCTTGAACTGGATATGGATGTGATGGGTGACGGCGAGGATACAAGTAACGGGTCAGAGCATTTAATGAAGGAATTGGTTCCAATTTCAAATCCGAAGAGGGCAACGGAAACGGAGAGCTGTAATCAAAGGGTGCAAGAGACAGTATTGGAAAGGGATGCAAGCTTTGGGCTGTCCAAGGAAATTGGGCTACAAAAATTGAGTTTTGATGGGCCAGAAGAAAGCAGTGGGCCGAATATTGGGATGGGCAGGGGACAGATCAAGCAAACGAGCATAGAGGAGCCCAGTTTAAATGCTCAAAACCAAATGGATTCACCGACAATGCAGAAACCGGAAAACTCAAAAATTGTGAGCAAAAAACAGAGGCTACTTAGAGAATGTTATCCGGAAAGCATGGAGGAGATCTGGGCAACAGCAGCATCGAGAGTAACGCCTAGAACAAGGTAGCGACACGCACGGAGGGAAGGAAATTGTCAAGTTGGGGACGAAAAGGTAGGCAACGCTGTCTCTGTTTCAATCTCAGATGGTTGTATTGAAAATAGAAATAGGGTGCTGCAGAAGGAGTTGAATATGCATGAGGTGCGCTAGATGATGGGGGTGGGGAAGAGGTTGGGTTTTAAAATGGAGAATTTTGAGGAGATTCAATCAAAATTACTGGAGGTAGTAAATTGGGAAGGGGCAAGGAGGAGGAACGCGTCGGGGATGTAAGGGCGGTTGTGCCGAAAGGAGGTTGTGCGACCAGAAGTAATTTATGAAATTAATATCTTTTAATGTAAGGGGCTTGGGTGGGACGCTGAAAAAGAAGGAAGTGAGGAGGATGGTTTTTGACGAGAAGCCTGATTTCATGTTCTTGCAGGAAACAAAGTTAGAAAAGGTGGATGTTGGTATTTGTAGACAGTTGTGGAATTCAGATGAGTTTGATTGGGTTGCGAAGGGCTCTTCTCGAGCTTCGGGGGGTTTACTATGTATATGGGACAGACGGTATTTTGTTAAGAGGGAAGAATTCACTGGAGATGGGTTCATGGGAATATTAGGGGAATGGGGTGTAAATAAACAGCTGTATTTTTTAATAAACGTGTATGGTCCAAAGGAGAGACAGAAGAAAGCTAATTTGTGGGAGGAGCTAAGGAGAATGGTGACAGACAAGGAGGGATGTTGGTTAATAGCAGGGGATTTTAATGCAGTGAGAGGTCCTGAGGAGAGAAGAGGAAGAACAGGGGAGAGCCCGAACATGAAGGATTTTGATGAGTTTATTGTGACAACTGATTTGGTGGATGTCAAACTATCGAATAGAAGGTATACATGGTATAAGCCAGATGGTACAGCAAGGAGTAGATTGGACAGATTTTTATTGAGCACTGAGATGAGCAATATGGAAGGGGAGTGGATACAGCAAGGATTGTCAAGGAATATCTCTGATCATTGCGCTATTGTGTTGAAGTCCAGAACAACAGATTGGGGACCAAGACCTTTCCGGGTTTTGGACGCATGGCAACAACATCTAGATTTTAAGAAGCTTGTAGAAGATAAATGGAGTGAGATGGAGGTCGAGGGCTTTGCTAGGTATAAATGCCAACAAAAGCTGAAATTACTCAAAGGATTTTTAAAAGGTTGGAACAAAGAAGTTTTTGGGAACATGGAAGCTCAATATGAGCAAGCAGTAAAAAATATTGAGCAGGTTGATATGCAGAATGAGTTAGCAGATCTGGAAGATGCTGAGATTGTGAAGAGACAAGAAGGAACTTATCTGGAAGCAGAAATCAAGAAGTAAATGGGTGTGTGAGGGAGATGCAAATACCCGATTTTTTCATAAAGTCGCAAAAGGAAGAAGGGCACAGAATAATATTGCGAGTTTAATGTGTGAAGGGGCATGGATTGAAGATCCAGATTTAGTCAAAAATGAGGTCTGCAGATATTTTAGAAGCCTGTTTCAAGGAGAGTCATGGAATAGACCCAAGCCTGGGAATATTAGTTTCCAGCAGATCTCTGAGGAAAAGAAGGATTGGCTAGAAAGACCTTTTTCAGTTGAAGAAATCGAGGAAGCGTTAAGGAGCTGTGATGGTTCAAAGGCACCGGGACCTGATGGGTACAATTTCAACTTCCTTAAATTTGCGTGCCATAGCATAAAGGAGGACTTCATCAACTTTTTTTCTGAATTCCATCGTAATGGAAAATTGGTGAGGGGACTAAATTCTTCTTTTATAGCCTTGATTCCTAAAAAGTTGAATGTTGGGGGACTAAAGGATTATAGACCCATTAGCTTGTTAGGATGTGTCTATAAATTATTAGCGAAGGTGCTGGCAAATAGATTGAAATCTGTGATAGCAGAAATAGTGAGTGAAACACAATCTGCCTTTGTGGGGGGTCGTCAGTTGGTGGATAGTGTCTTGGTGCTAAATGAAGTTGTGGATGAAATTAAGAGGAAGAAACAGCCAGCTTTTGTTTTCAAAGCAGATTTCAAAAAGGCATACGATTGCGTAGATTGGTCCTTTTTGGATTGGATGATGGAGAGGCTTGGCTTTGGAAAAAAGTGGAGAGGCTGGATTAGGGAATGTCTTTCAATGGCGAGAATCTCGGTCCTGGTAAACAGAAGCCCGACAAAGGAATTTGAGATGGGTAAAGGTTTGAGACAAGGTGATCCTTTATCTCTTTTTCTCTTTTTGATGATTGCAAAGGGGTTACAAGAGCTGGTAAAGAGAGCAGTAAAGGAGGAAATGTTGCACGGGATTGAGATTGGAAAGAAAGGTTTGTCAGTGTCGTTGCTCCAGTTCGCGGATGATACAATTATAATGGGTAGAGCGGATGCTGAGAATACACGTATGGTGAAGGACATCCTAATATGGTTTGAGCTTATGTCGGGATTGAGGATTAACTTTAGCAAGAGCAGTGTTTTCGATTACAATGTGTCTGAAAAATGGCTTAAAGGTGCAGCGAGTATGTTACATTGTAGGGTTGGTAGAGCACCTTTTCTTTATCTGGGATTGCCTGTTGATGGCAGATTTGGGAGCAAGAAATTATGGGAGCTGGTCGTAAATAAATTCCGTGCCAAACTCGCTGTCTGGAAGGCTGCTACTCTTTCCTTTGGAGGCCGCCTCATCTTGCTAAAATCGATACTCTCTGCACTACCCATTTTTTATATGTCTTTATATTTATTACCAAATTCTGTGCTTGAGGAGTTGATTAGAATTCAAAGGAATTTTTTATGGGGCGGGACAGGGTCAATTAAGAAAATTTCATGGGTAAAATGGGAAGATGTATGTCGTGATAAAGCCAAAGGGGGTCTTGGGGTGCCAGATTTACAGAGGAAAAATTGGGCAATGATAGGAAAGTGGTGGTATAGGTTAGGTGATGGGGTTGAGAGTTTATGGAAAAGGGTGGTGAGGGAGAAATATTATGGAGGTAGGGAGGAGGTCGATATTACTTCAATTGAGTGTTTAAGGGTGTCAAAGCTTTGGAGGGACATCATAAGGATAGGGGGTCTGTCTCTCAAACTTAGGAACATGTTAGTTGTGGGCTTCAAGTGGGAGGTGGGAGAAGGAAATAGAGTGGAGTTCTGGTCTAATAGGTGGGTTGGAGATAAAAGCCTTAGGGATCGTTTTCCAAGGTTATTTGCATTATCTGTAAAGAAGGAGGGCAAGGTTTCTGAAATGGGGACTTGGGAGGAGGGTAGATGGCGTTGGCGGGTGGAGTGGAGGAGGGGTACAATAGGGCGAGAGAAAGATGAGGAAGAATTGTTGGAGAAGGTGCTGGAGGGTGTCAAACTAAAGGAGGGGCTGGGGATGTTTGGAAGTGGGTCCATGGGATGGATGGTAAATATGTGGTGAAGCTAGCGTATGATTTTTTAGCTTCTACGGAGAGGGTTTTGGAGGACCAGATGTGCAAACTAATAGGGTGCAGGTTGGTGCCATCCAAAGTGGCTTTTTTTGGGTGGCGACTGTGTTTAGATAGACTCCCAACAAAGAATAACTTGCAAAAACGAGGGATATTGTTGCAGGAGGGGGTTTTATGCAAATGTTGTAATGGAAAGGTGGAGGAAGTTAATCATTTATTTTGTGTATGTGATAATGCGTGGTTAGCTTGGACTCAAGTGTTGAGTTGGTGGGGCTTAGAGTCTATTCTGCCTAACACAGTTGTGGGATTGGCAGAATTTTTCATTGGAGGTTTGGGCAGAATAGTTGGGAAGGAGATGGGCTCATGTATTTTTCTAGTGGTCGCTTGGTATTTATGGTATAGAAGGAATGTTCAAGTGTTTCAAAAAGATGAAGGAATACCAGAAAACCTGCTGGAAAGGATGCAAGTTAAAACCTTTTTATGGATTAAATCCAAAGTCAATGGCTGTGTTTTTTCCTTTTATGAATGGCAATCCTGTCCAATGGAGTGTGCTATGTCTATCAAAAAACATAAAAGGATGAGGAAGCAGTTCTATAAAGTGGTAGCGTCTTCTAGCTGATGGATAGGCGGAGCAGATTTCTCTTTAAATGTTTTGTTTTGGGGACCTGACGCTTTTTGGTTTAAGTGGTGGTTGTTTAGATGTCTTTTTCGGTTCTTAGGAGAGTGGCTCTCCTTTGTTCTGGTCTCCTTTTTTTTTTTGTATAAGGGCAGGAGCACCCCTTGTGCTTCATTAAATTAATTTTTTCTTTGGTTGATAAAAAAAAAATTTCTTCAATTTAGTTTTAGGTAATATGTGTTAAATGAAAAAATTCTACATAAAAAAGAAAGAAAAAAATGTCTTTAAATATAAGGTCCATTATTTTACAATGAAAAATGACTTAGAAATAATTTTTTTTTATTTTTTTAAAATAATCTTAAGTGTTATTTAAATTATTAATTCTTTTTATTCATTTGAAATATATGATATTGAAACATATCAACTTATTTAACGACATAAAAATTGTATAAAAAATAATATAAAAAAATTATCCATATAACATCACCATTTGATAATTTAGAATCTAAATTGTTCTTAATTGTAATATAAAGACAATTAAATAAAAGAAAATCTCCTATATCAAAGTATCCTCTTTCATTTAAAAAACAATATTTTCTAATCTAAAATAAATTTTCATTAAATATAATAGTGTATGAATTAAGATAGTGCTATAAGAACAATTTTTTTATACTGTTTTTAATATAATTTTCATATGTCATTAAATAAATAAATGCATTCAATATCACAAATATCATATGAATTAAAAAAAATAATTATTTAAATAATACATTAAATTATATAAAAATCATTTCCTTCGTAATTATTTCCCTCGTTATCATCGATTAATATAGATTCATTGTATTCAAACTTAAGCCAACCACTCAATTGGCCGATGATAATTCAGTTCCACGAAAAGTCGGAACCCATTCCATCAATCAAAGATGCTGAAAAGCATAACAATCTATAAGAAGATTGATTAAACATCATGCTCAATTTGGTGCAGAAAATACAGTAATAAGTTTACCATCATGCTCAATCTCAAAACCTTCCTCTTTTACTTCTTTAAAGAATAAAATAAAATGATGATCAAGACTTTCACTTTCTACCCAGTACCTATAATTAATAAATAAATAAGCAAATAATGAGAAACTCAATTTGGGAAATAGAATTCATTCATAGGAAGAAAGCTCATCATATCAACTCTAACATTTTGTGTTCCTTTTTCACGCTGGACTACTTGCTGAGGAGGTAGGCCACTTCTAAGAAGGTACTGCTTCGGCCAACACCTCAATTGGGTAGCCTCTGTATCGAAGGATCCCCTGATCCCCGTCAATATAGGAAATTGATGAGCGTACAGGAGCTGTGTTCAAAAACCCAGGGTCATACCCCTTGAGACCCTTGTCATCCTTCCCGGTCGTTATCTGTAAGAACAAAATTCAACCTAAAATGCCCAGAATTGGAATAGATATAAATTCAGATCAGAGAAATCAAAAGGGAGGGTAAATACAGACCTTCTTCAAATCAACCGCTTTAACGGTGCCTTCTGTGGAGACGAGAACCTGGTGCTTCTTCCCAATGCGTTCGTCGATGATGGTCAAGGAACCGCCAAGGGAGACGGCAGTCTGAGCAGAGACGCACCATGGCTCAATGATCGGCAGAGAAGAGAGGTCGGAGGGTGGCGGTGCTGCTAGATGAGCAGCGAGTATGGCCAAACGGCCGTTCCCCTTAACGCCGACCTCACTGTTTGACATTCTTAGAATGGATTTGGATGGAAATCAAAACCAAGTTTGTTTTTTTGCTTCTCTTCTGAGTTAGATATATTGCTTCGCTTCTGGGATTTTCCTTTCGTCTTTGATATTAGATTGGGTTTCTATAGTCAGAAATGTTCACTTAAATTACCAAAATACCTTCATTAAAACCTTTCTCAATGTTAATTCATCAATAATTATTTCGTAATTTCAATATTTACACAAATTCCCCATTTTTTTTTTTCATGATATATATCTTACTTCCCACAACACATGACGTTTTGAGTTGGCAAGGGCACCGTCATATTGTGCCATGTTAATTATCGATCTGTCTGGTACAGAAATAGCAAAACGAGTCCATTATCATATCAAAATGAGAAAAAAGGTTTATCGAGTAATTTGGTAGGTTTACATATTACGTATTACTATGGTAATGATAGAGAATTTTATTGCAAAAAATTTTATCATGCTACCAATTAAGCTCCTTTTTGCTATGGATAAAATTTTTTTGAATAAAATAAAATATGTCAGAACTCCAAAATCGATTAGTTTATAATTACATAAAAAGCCACATATATCACCTAACTCACTCGCACAAGTATGATATGGGACAAATGCCCTATAATCCTATGGATTGGGGTGGAAATGAAAACAAGTACGTATATAAAAGCTATGGTTTTGCTTCTGGGATTTTCCTTTGTGTCTTTCATACTAGATTGGGTTTTTATAATAAAAAATGTTGCTTAAAGTACCAAAATACCTTTGATAAAACTTTTCTCAACCCTAATTCATTAATAATATTTTGGTGATTTCAATTTTTACACATCTCTTTTTTTAAGATATACAAGACATGCATAGTTGAGGTATTAATTATAAATCCTCTTTTAACCGTAAATGAATTTATAAGGAAACTAAGTAAGTTGAAAGAGGATAAGATTAAAATTTTTTGAATTTTATCACTTTTGCTGCACCTTCCTAAGCCCATCTTCATGCTCGTGAGGAAACATAGGCAACTGCCAAGTGGTATTTTCATTAAAATAATACCACTTGTTATGGCTGTTTGTAGCTTCCTTCGTATTTCTCTTTTAATTTGGATATATTTAATTATATTTAGCATATTCATGAAACATTTCATCTTTAATGATAGATGCCAGATACTAGAAGTCCTCCTAATACCACTTCTAAGCATCATCACTCCTCAAAAGCAAGTCAACCAACACCTCCAAAAAATGATGAGCTAGTTTGCAATTCTTCATTTGGATGGTTTTTGTTAACT